AGCAGTCGACAATTTGGCCTGCTTAGTTACTTAATTATCTTAATATCTTATAAACTGCTATTTTACATTAATTTCAGTAAATGTACCATTAAATACCACCTTCCCCACGCTTGCAGCATCCTCTAGGTCTGTGGTTCATTCATTTCCACTGTGTATGGGTGCTGCAGTACAAGCTGGTGTATTCAGAGATAAGGAAGGCTAAGTGCTAGGCCCGCGGCTTGGTATTTGGTAGAAGAGTGAAGGGCATCTTCAAAACCAGTCTATACAGAAACATCTCACTGTGCCCTCCAGTGGCTCTGGCCTCAGGCAGCCTCCTGCTGCCGTGGGGCTGCCAAAGGTATCCGCTGCTTCCCGCACCAGTCCCGTCCCAGCTGCAGGCATTTGTGCTCACCAACCAGCCCCAGCCCACTCTCTCCCCTACGCTTTGGAAACTCCATGATAGGTGTTTTGCAGCCCTCGGCCCCAAGAGAATTTTGGTAGGAGCAGGAAGGCTGGCCAGCCCCACAGATAAGTCTTTTCTTCTTTAGAGAGGAAGTCAAGGTGAGAGCCCATCTGTGCTGACATAAGGGACAAAATTGACCTTTAATGTCACCAGGTTCCCTTCTCTGCATTTTTTCTTTTAAAAATACATTTAATTATATTAATGTATACAGGCATTACCAATAGTCAGCTAGGGATCATATTCCAGTGACAAGTGCACTTTGCAGGCATAGCGCAGGAAGAAAAGATATGACTGTCATACAGCCATCAGATACATATAATGACCCTACAACATATTGTTTTGCATCATCAGGTTTTGACTCTTCCTCCTCATTTTATTTCATCTCCCTGAGGACTCCTTACCCTTCCAAAGTCTTCAGCAGGTTTAAAAAGAAGCAGATTGCCTCCTGGAGAAATATCACATATGAGAGGAAGAATGGCAAGTTGTTCTTGCATTTTGTGGCAAGTCAGAAACTGGAGAGAAACACTCCCTGACCTCCAAATCTGGTCATGAGAGGAGGTAGAGCAAAAACCCAGAGCTCCCAGCTGGCTGCTGCCTGCCTGCCTGCAGCAGAGCACAGCTGCCAAGGGCAGGGGAAGGCTCCCCAGCCCCACAGTGTCCCTCAGGGGTTTGGTGGGTTGCTGCCAGGTAGCTGCTTCTGAAACAAACCCTTCAAGCAGAGCGGCCTTTCCAAATTGTCCCCTTGGGTTCTGGCCACTGGGTCACTTGAAGGAGAGATGTGGCAGGAAGGCAGCATGTGTGCATGCGTGGGTGTCCTTTGACTACGTCCCCGTAACAGGCTGGCTGCCGGACTTACTATGAGCTTTGTACAGAGTAAGGCAACATGGATTTGTTCCCCTGAACTTTACCTTCCTATAATATGTACGTGCCAGAATGGTAATTACCAAGGCCTGAACCTTCACCCCTCAAAGAGAAGTGCCTGGTTCTGAGGAGGGCCCACAGCTGTGAATCCCAGAAGGGTGAAGACCTCTCTCAGAGACCAGTATTTGGGTGCTTAATGCTGCTTTGACATTTCCCCAACTTGGAGCAATTGGACCTGACTCTTCTCCTCGACATATCCTCTCAACTTATCTCAAGTGGTTTGTCACTCAGCCTATGGTTGTTTCTGCACTTGTTTTAGTTGGCAAACTCTCTTCCCATAGCAAGGAAAACCTTGCATTGCAACACCCCCGTCCCTTTATGAGCGGGGCCTCAAGACACATTAAAAAAACAGAGTTGTTTGCATTTGTTTAGACTTTTGTGCACATAATATAATGAAGCAGTTAACCCAGGTCATGCAGCAGAGTTTGCAAGAAGTATTATCTTAATCTACTTTACTGCATGGGTCCCTGAGGCACCCAGCGTAACTGGGCTTTAGCTGATGTTCACCACATTAACAATCATCTTTTATGTTCAGCAGTATCACTGTTTTAAAGGGCTGCATGGTCCTTTGCTGAAGAAAAAAATTGATGCTCCTCATCCGTAACCCCAGTACACCCAATAATAGGTGTTTAAACACCTTTTTAGCAGCTGTATCTTACAAATAGTTGTTAACTAATCAGGCTGTTAGATTAAACCTGTTTGTTCAGTAGAGTAATCAGAACTAGGCTGGTAAACACACAATGTCACTCTGTACACAATATACCTTTTAAAGGAAATCTTACATGCTGCTGTAAACTACCTATACTTAGGTATTTTGCTATGTTTTAGAAGCTTACAGAAGGGTGACTACATGGTGGTTTTTGTTCTGCACCTAGATAATCTTGGGCTGCTCACAATGTGACCACAATGTTCAATCGCATAAGTAAACATACTACAAATGAGTTTGATTTACCTATAAATAAGGCCTGCTAAACAAATATGAGTGTTACAGCCATTATTTTGTTCTTAAATAGGTGACAAAATAAACAGTTTGTGCTACTATTCGCATTAACAGCTGCTGCTCAGATGAGGGGCCAAGAACACTACTCATTGCACCCAACATCCTCCAGCAATGTGCTGGGGCTTCCAGAGGCTCCTCTGGCTGTGGAGTGCCTGTCCTCTCAAAATTTATATTATCCAGAACTGTTATGATGGTGAAGACGCTCAGCTGTCTTTGAGCTAGTCTTTAAAAGGGAGGGGTGCCATGCAGTCAGCAGAAAACAAATGATCACCAAGAGCAGACTTCTACGCAGCGTGAGGGGAGTAAGGTAGGAGAGCAGGTTTTAAAAGGACACTTCTTCCTAAATAAAAAGGATGTGTTCATTTTACTGAATTTTAGACTTTGTAATTAATTATGGAAGAGAAGCATTCTGCTTTCTTGTTGAAAGTACATTCAGCTTATTTGAACAGTTTGCCAAATGAGTTTTGATTTGTTTCCATTTCACACAAAGCCACACACTTGATCTCAGTTTGCTTAATATTTTGGTTGGAAGCTGGAGTTTTTTCTTTCTGTTTAAAGAAAAAACAAAATGTCCTGAAAATAAGATTATTTTTTTAAAAGTAAAAGTTTCCAAGGGAGATCATATTTCTTTAGGGTAAACAGTTTCTCTGTCAGAGAACAATAATGAAGTTCTTTTAAACAGAAAACTAGAGATAGCACCTTAATTATTTTTGGTTGTCTTCATAGCCTGTTTTATTATATTCGTTTAATTTATTTACACATAAAATGAGGATCAAAATCAATGTGACACATTTATAACCTGAACGTGCTTAGAAGTTTTATAATTACGTCCAGTATATACAGTTAAATTAGCATTTAATTCTTTCTGCTGGGAATATTGAAAATTTGGGTTAATAAAGATCCAGCTGGCTGTACCTTCTTTATCCTGGGTGCAAAGGCACTGAAAGAATGCATGATAGGCAGGAAAAGAACCATGAAGAGATGGACCAAAAGTGGAGGAAAAAATTATATAAATGATAGTTAACGTGAGGTGGAAAAGAACAGAGATGGTGTTAAACATTAGTAGGCAGAAAAATGGGAAGCAAGAGGCATACCAAACAGTAAATTAATATACTCGGATTCCACGTGTCCTGTTTTCCTGAGAATGCCTCTGGATGCACTTTGTCGCTGGCCCTTTGGTGCCACTGCCTGGCACTACTTGAAAATCCCTCTTTATTACATGGGCTGTTAGTGGTAGCTGCCAGGGTTTTGCAAGTTACAGTTTATCATCTATACTCAGCTTCCATTTATATCCAGCTTCTAATGGCATGGTGTGCTTGTACTAAGATTTGTTTTGATGTGGGAAAAAAAATAATTATTCTGTGTGTTCTGTCAAGAACAATCAGAGGCAATAAAATCCCGAAGCAAATGGGTGAAATTAGTACTGGCTGAATTGCCATGTCCGTATTTTTCTGACACAAAAAACCATGTTACACCATAATGATAGTGCTAGTGAATAGCATATGTTAATGCTCTTTATTTTTCACAACAATACTATTTTTCTGTTAAGGAAAAGCAGATCTTTCAACAGTCAGTATTGCTTGCCAAGTGCTTAAGCACTTTCTTTAAATGCTTTCGTACAGACTTGCAAAAGGGACATGCTACTGCATACACAAGAGAAGGACAGCAATATTTGTGTCCTCAGATGCAGACTAAACCAATGTTCAGAAAATGTTTCTCCCCATGTTTCTGCCGAAAAACAGCATTAAAATAATAAATACACATAACAATGCTAAACTACTAGCACTGAAATAAACTAGAGTCCAACAGAAAAGATATTTGCTTATACAGCAGCTAATGCTTCAGATTAGTCAGGCTCTTTCATTGTATTTTGTCAGCAAAAGGGCAGAAAAGTTTTTTTCTTGTCTTCGATCATTTTCTTACATCTCTATTTACAGCAAGAGCCTACAAGAATTTTGCAGTAAGACTTGATTTGGTGAGGCAGTGCCCTCTGCCTAAAAACTGAGGGCTCCTGGAAACTTTGGTTTCACCAGGCTGCACAGTGGGTTCAGTCAGTTATCACTATCAGGACAGGGCGGGAGCAAAGGCTGGGCATGGGCTCCTCAGCTTTAGCCTTCTGTCTCCGACTTGTAGATCTTAGACTTATGTATCAAAATTAAGCTGAGGGAGCTTCAGAATCTAAAATTAATGATTTTTAAGAGCAAAGTGGGAGATACAGGACTCCAACCAATTTTGATGAAGAAGACTAGGACTGTTTAAATAGAAAATAACGAAAAAGACTTCTCATCTGCCCACTAGACAAGACATGGCCCAGTGCAGGCCTCTGGGAGCCACTGCTGTTCTGGTGTGAGGACACAGCTTATTTCATCAAATGAGATTCCCATTTCAAGGAAAGTCTAATGACAAAAGTGTAATTCTGGTAAAAGTATAATTATGAAACAGTTTAATCCTTCATAAATAATGAAATGTGAATGCCCTACACATAAAAATAAATGAAAGTGTTTACAATTGCCCTTTTTTTTCCTCCCTGCAGCTCTCCCTATATAGAAAAGGAACAAACAGTTCTAAACATATCTCAGCATTAGGAAAAACAGTGCCTCTGCTGCACATCTACGAGGATTTGAGGCCTCAATAAGGATGCAACTGTGCTGTGAATCTGTAAATGGCTCTTGCATAAGGAGCAGTTGGTCAAACAGTATCTGTGTTTCCATGTAATATCTTCATGGTTTGCATTATTCTGCCCACCCTAGTTGGAAATTTAATGGTTATCATCTCAATATCACATTTCAAGCATCTCCATACACCTACCAATTTCCTGATACTTTCTATGGCTACAGTGGACTTTCTGCTGAGATTCCTCATCATAGCTTGCAGCATGGTGCGCTCTGTTGAGCACTGCTGGTATTTTGGGGAGCTCTTCTGCAAGATCCACACAAGCATGGACATTATGCTGAGCACGGCTTCCATCTTCCATCTTTCCTTCATATCCATCAACCTTTACTATGCTGTGTGTGACCCTCTAAGATACAAATCAAAGATAAATACTTTTGTTATCCTTGTCATGATATTCGTAAGTTGGATGGTCCCTGCAGCTTTTGCTTTTGGGATTATCTTTCTAGATCTAAATTTGCAAGGGGCAAAAGAGTTTTATAATCATGTCCACTGTGCAGGAGGATGCTGTGTCATTTTTAGTGAAACTTCAGGTGTTGTGGCCTCCATAGTGTCTTTTTACATCCCTGGATTTGTTATGATGTACATCTATCAGAAAATATACTCTATAGCCAAGAGGCAAGCAAGATCCATTGATGCAATTAGCCAAAAAAAAAGGCAATTTGAAATGAAGCACCACATTTCATTATGCAGAGAAAGGAAAGCTGAAAAGACATTAGGCATAATAATAGGAGTGTTTCTCATCTGCTGGAGTCCATTCTTCTTCTTTACAGCAACCAATCCATTTATGAATTATGTGGTACCTCCTGTTCTCATTGATGCTTTAGTTTGGTTTGGTTATTTAAATTCTACATTTAACCCAATTGTTTATGCATTTTTTTTACATGTAGTTTCACAGGGCATTAAAGATGATTCTGTTTGGAAAAGTTTTTCAACAGAACTCTTCCAGGACTCATTTGTTTTCAGAGTAACATGCTTTAAGTGGTTGGATTCATTGCTTTGAATTTTTGTCTGGAGGCTGAACTCCCAGATGCAAGAGCTGGAAATGAAGAAAACGCCTATTTGTTTACACATTTACCAAATCTGGTTCATGCAGATAAGCAACTATTGTCAATTTGCATCTTATAGAATTTTTTTAGCTTGGGCAGATTGTGAGGAAAGTATATGAAGAATTGTGAAGTAATGCTGTGGTTAGCCTTAATGGGGAGTGAATGGTGCAGGGTGGATCTGGAAGCACCAGGAGTGACAGAAGAATGGCTACAGGAATGGCTTGAGGTGATGGCGCATGGGTGAGCAAGCTGTCAAGGTTACCTTTGTGGGCAGCTTCTCAGGGCACCCAGACACAAAGGCACCCAGGCACAAAGGACAGGCGAGAAAATCAGAAACCATGGTCAACAGCTGAAGAACACCCACAGACTGTCATTTCTTTAATCCATGACCTGGCTTTTCTAGAGTTAACATATCACAAACAGAATGAAACACCTCTAGCCTGATCCTGTGACATCTGGTCGGACTACGAAGAACCAGTCCTGGGAACAGGCCAGAAAGGATTAGTACCTGAGAAGAGATTATGGAGAGAAATTTATGACTCTGAAGTAAGAGCTATGCTCGGCAGTGAATTATGTCTTCCATTCATGTTGCTATATAAGTGCACATCGTATGCGTATCTTGTCTTTCTTTCCTGTGCTTTCTAGAGCACTTCTCTGCAGAAATAACAAGGGGCTTGCACACACAGACTGCTGGTGACCTTCAGCCACACCCAGAAGGCAGTTGTCCTTGTCCTGAATAACCTAGAAGTACAAGTCAGCTTTGTGGCCCAGCTCAGAAAATTTCAGAAATAACTTTTTCCTCTAGAGTCCTGTTACCTAAAGGTGGCACTTTCCCAAAGAGCCTCCTTGCCTTCTGTTTACGGAGTGCCTTCTCTAGCAGAGCAACTTTAATGAAGTTCCAGGTTACTTTCTCTCATTAGTTCTTATCACATGCAGTGCAAACCTATTTCCCACTGTGAAAGGGATGTACAAGTGAGGCATGTTAATGAAGCTGCAAGGACTCCATTTGAACCCAAGACTGACAAATCAGGAGAGCAAAAGAAAAATGCCTTATGTTGTTATCCAATCAGATGATGAGTTAAGTCTGGTGAAGCAGAAGGTACCTTACTGCAATCTCAAAGTGTCATCATGTAAATGAAGTGCAAAGGGTATTGTTAAATTCCATATCAACACATTTAATTAGAGACATTATTAAACACTTACAGGTGGCTACCTTTTTCAAAACAAATGGGTCTCCAGTGGGTGACTTCATAAATTTTAACTTCCCTGAAAATTTGTGCAAGGCAATTACTCCAGCATGATGAAAGCATCTGCTTCAACAGTAAACCTATGACTGTTCATTTTGCCACCAGTGAGCACAATTTGCAATGTCACCTTCCTCTCATGCAGTAAGTTTCAGACTCATGGACTACTGCCCATCTCCTCTGCCTTAGTGCCTGTAGCTGATGTTTTGGTGGTTGTATCACCATGTTGCAGCTTCTGGGCTGCCACCTGCCATGACCTCATGTACAAGCCAAGCCTTGCAGTCTGCCCTGAAGTCAAGGGATGCAGCAGGGATGGGGGAAGAGGAGGAGCACCGACGGTCCAGGCAGGACCCTTCTAGAAGCCTCCCAAGGAAAGCATCACTCCAAAATGGAGTCATTTGAACATCTAGATAAAAAAATACATTAGTGCAGTGTTCAAACAGAAAAATTGAGCTCTCAAACTGTGTAAATATTGCAAAGTGTATGGCTTTCCTTAATTCATTAACTCATCTAGGTTATGCACACTGTGCACTTTCTGTCCTCTACAACACATTAATACCCATTCAACAAGGAAGAAAATACTAGATACAGTCAAAGACAAGATACTTAGTGTTCTACAGAAGTCTTTTACTTTGGTAGTTTTTCTGACCATCTTAGTTATCTACAATACTACTTTCACACTACTCCATCTAAAGACATAATTCAGAAAAAGCCTATGCCTATCTATAGGCACTTTTTGACTAGTCTGTTTCCATTAGACATAGCCTAGATGTTATAAACTCCTATGATGAAATGACTGGCCTAGTAGACAAGCGGAGAGCAGTGGATATTGTCAACCTAGGCTTCAGTAGGGCTTTTGGTCATTCAGTCAGTCCAATACATTGCATCTCCTTCAGAAACAACTTTTCCTCCAGACTGCAAATATTCAGGGAAAAATTTTGAGCTACTTGTGAGGCTTCAGTGTGTCATGTCCTTGTGTGTGTCCAGTATGTGCCCTTCAATGTTAAGGGAGTATCTACTTAGTCAGTCTTGCTACCCAACTTGCAGCCTGCAGCTAGATCTCCATCAGTAGTTCTTCTGGCCAAGGGGACTTGCAGATCTGTCGGACAGTGGGATTTGGTTCCTGAACAACTTTGTGGCATGCCATGCCATTCCCCTTGCTGTTAAACTTGATGCTGGTGCTAAACTTCATGCTAAACAAAGCACTGCTTTGCACAAATCCTAACGCATAAGAGTAACAGAGATTTTTTTGTGGACCACACCTGCTGGTACACAGGAGAACCAGAGTTTCTGTGGTCTTTGCTATAACATATTCATCACATTCAGTTCAATGGGGTACACCATTTATGTTCAGATGCATGCATTTCAGATCTCTTAATTTCTTCCTCTCCTAAAATATCATGGTAAGTTGTTTTTTTTCTTGAAACACATGCTCACCCATTAATCTATTTTTCCAAACTACACAACTAATTGCCTCAGCATGAATTCTGGTCTATATTAAATCCAGACCATGTTCTGCTCAGGGTAGCAGTCAGAAGGGTTAGGACTTCTTGTAGCTTTTTTACTGTGAATGATTCCAGCAAGACGTAACATTGCCCTTGGAGGACATATTTGCAATACTGGATTCAGGAGGGAGTTCACGCTCTGGCATCCCATGTGGGCACCTCCATCTGAGAGCACACCCATGGTCCTCTTCCTCTCTGGTACATCCCAGTTTGAACACGCAGGACAGCAAGACATGCTTAAGAGCATCCCAGCCAGGTAATCCACACTCAGCCTCCCTCTTGCAATGCCTCTAACAGCAATGTTCAGAGCTGTCTTCAAAGCCGTTGATCTTTATTCAAACAGTTGCTATGTTTTTATTCTTAAATAGTTTGCAACTCAGCAACTCACAGGTATTATCTGCAGTGCCTGCTTGCAGTAAGAATAGTTAAGTTCACTACTATTTTATTTTCTGTCACATCCTAAACTGTAAGAAAATATTTCCTACCCCCTTGTAGAGTCCACAGGCAAAGGCAGCTTTAAAGAAAAAGGTCGACAATGTCTTATATTAAGACAGGAGTGAAAAAAAAAAAAAGTTAAATCCTTGGGCTGGAAACAGATCAGCTGAAAACTTTTTTGAGAAATAGATTGATTTATTTTTTGCAAGCTCTGGGTTTATTTTTATTTTACACCTTGATACTGTAGAGCACTTAATAAATATTTATCAGGAAGTCATTAATATAACTATAGTTCTGAAGGCAGTCATGTTCAGGAGGTGAAGAAAGTGAGCAATAACATGAAACATCTGAATGGCAAATCTCTGGACACACTGCAGCAGGATTTCCAAAACTTAATCTTAAAGATTTAAATTAAAGGTTTTGGTTTACAGGCATTATTTTTTCTATTCAAAATGAAAATATGCCAAACAAGTCAGATAAGTTCAGGTAAATAAATGTTCAATAGTCAGTGTCCAATTTTCAGTTATAATGTTTTTTTGGACAAAAAACCCCCATGTTTTAGTCAGCTTTAGTGAAAATTAATTACATGAAAGTAACTGTTCCAATAAACTCCTGACAAAAGGGCATACACAGCTGTAACTGTATATTATACTGTTACAGTATAATTACTATATTGTAATAATGTATTAAAATAATTTATTTATTCTTCCATTTATGTAACCTCATCAAATCATCTTCCCACTGGATCAGTTGTGTGTCAGTCTTCATGGCTGCAGCAGCAACAAAGCATCACTGAAGCATTACAGAGAAAACTGACATAGAAAAGGATGTGCAGTTTGTGAAGAGACAGCTGTGATTCTTTTTCGTTATATAGAAACCAAGAACACTCCAGTTTTCTTGTAAGAAAGGAGTGTTTTCAGTTGTATTTTTTAATTACACCTTTCCACCAAAATGCAGGATGGAGAAAATCCAAAGCAGCTTTGGATTTTAATAAGAAGAAAGGATATTTAAAAACAAACAAACAAAAAAAATCAATTCAGTAGTGCTCTGGGGTGCAGACAGGAGCCAGATGGTGAGACCGAGGAAGAAAGCCTTCTGAGGCAGGAGGGGAGAGGAAAAGAGGCAAATATTTTTTTGTCTGATCGGAAGCAGATTCTACTCACTTTGTGCATGCCAGGACAGGCTGTAGCTGCAGCAGCTCGCCAGCAAGGCCAGCTGGGAGCAGAGCAGTTGGCCTGTCTCACCAGCCCACAGCAGTATTTTCACACTGGACAGCTTAGGACATCTGAGCTCCATCCTGCGCTGGGGATCCTGCCCTCAGACACTTCCGTTTCAGAGCTCATGTGCAACCGAAGTACACTGACGCTGCAGGTGGAGCTGACATCAGTGGAGCCAAGGGTCAGATTTTGTCCCCTCATCCTTCAGCTCAGATGCTGAGTGTCAGAAGTGACAGCTGTAGCACTAGTGACTGTCACATTTGTCTCTAGATCTGACGTAACACTGTATTCATGCTGGTTTAAAGACGCTTCTGAAGACATAAAGACACGTCTTAAATAAATTCAGAGGCAAGATTTGATCCAAAGAAGGGGTTGTGTGCTCAGGATTATTTTTTTCCCAAAAAACCTTTCCCCTACAAATCTTGTTCTTCAATGTTTAAGCAGTTTTGTTTTTTTCTGGTTTTCTTCCCCAGCAGTGGCTGTGTTGCAATACTTTGGCAAATAATTTGTGCTGCCAAATCATTACTTCATCCCGGCTCTGGAGCTCAGAGCTAGTATTGCTTGGATTTTGTTAAGATTTTAGGGCCTAGAAATGCAAAGTGTGGGCTTTGCCCTCATGCCATGTTCACACACGTGGGTGTAACTGCCCTGTCCAAAATGGAGGGAAATATGTCTGTGACTGCTTCCATCCATCATCTCCAGTAATCCACTCTCCCACCAAGTTTCAGGTCTGCTCCATGGTCAAAACTGACTTTTCCCCAGTGTCATGTCATGCCCCACAGCACAGCCAGCTCCGTCAAATCATGCTGGTACACTGGGGCTCTCCTGCAAACTCTACATATCTTGTGATACTGTTGGATAGCACCTCTCCTTTTTGTCCTATTTCTCTCTCTTGACTGTAAGTTTACCACCTTTGACCCATTGCATTACATCACCAAAATGACCATCCCTATGATAGAAGTAATTTTCTTAGATAGCTAGTCAATTTTATTTTTGTTTGTCTTTAGAATGGGTTTCTTCAGGCTAAATACTGACATTATCGGAGAATATATGGCACCCATTGTCTGCAGCAGTTCCTGTGTTTCTCATACTTAAAAAGTGCTGGCTTCTCCCTTTGCTTCCTCTTTTTTAGGCACAGTGATGGTAGAGATATAAGTCCACACATTTTCTGTAGCAAGAAAGCATTCCAGAAAATTTACTAAAATTCTCCATGTGTCATGATCAGATGCGAGAATCAGAATTCCTTAAAGAAACAGAAGGAATCATGCAAATTTGGTTGGCTGGTTAGTTTTGTTGTTGTTGACTGCCCTTCTTGCAATAGGTGACCTTTTTATCAACTTCTCAGCATCTAAATACTCGTGCAGTGCCACCTTCTGGCTGGATTACTTCAGCTCTTCCTGCAGCCCTATAATTTATGGTTTGTTTTACCCTTCGTTTCAAAAAACCTTTTAAAATGTTCATTGCAGGTGCAATATGCAGACTCTTCTGTTTTCAATGTACTCTACTGCCTTCCTGTAAAAACTTGGTTAACTAGTCACATTCTTTACAAATTAATTAGCAGCTCTTGGAATTGCTTTCAGAAAACTTTGCACATATTTATATGTGTTCTTTTATCTGTGCAATGTTTGTGTACACTGTCAAATAAAAAAACAGGTAACCTGTGGGTTGACTTACATTCAGCAAGATAATGCAATATCCTAGGAAATTGTGCCCAAATGCTAGGAAATGACCCAGCACACTGACAGCCTATCCAGGATACATTATCCAGATTCTCCACCATGTGCTTAGAGACACAAGCTACGTGGCCACGACACTGAAGAGCCATTGTGTCTAAGGGCCAGCATGAACCCTCAGGTTTAAGCCACGTGAGGTAATTATTTAGATATCATTGTCTGAAAATTGGCACCCTAGTCATCCTGTTCTGTTAGCCAAACTTTCCAAAAGAACAAGGGGAGCAGAATGGAGCCAAAACACTTTTTTCCAGCTGAAAACAATTCATCGTCTTTATCTGCTCGCAGGACTCCAGAAGCAGTCTTACAAGTGCTGGTAAACCAATGTCAGACTGCTTTTGTAAATGTAATTTTTCAATCTGTAACTAAAAAATATTTTAAATGTGGGTTGGTTTAGGGTATGATGATCTAGCTCCCAAACAACCACCTCTCCATGTGCTGTCCGGCACTGCTTATGGAAATAAGTTATCATTAGAATAGTCATCTATGTATGCGGGTACATCTCCTCAGAGGAGTTAAAAGTTAGATTTTTTTAAAAGGGAGTAAATAAAATATAAATTAAAATATCTTGTCCTATTTGGGACAGGTTTCATGGGCAAAGCTTCAGTTCTGTCCTCCTATTGATTACTGCACTGTGCCCCTTCTCCACAGTCAGGATGCCAAAAGGATCCTGCCATGCAGCTGATCTGTTGTGTGAGTACAAAAGGAGAGTGCTCCTGTCTAGGGAAGCCAGACATTCCAGTGCACCTGGCTTTTCTAATATTGTTATGGGGAGAAAAGTGATTTTTATTCCTCATT